TCCGACCGAGGTCCTTACTCCCCAGCAACCGAGGTGAGCTGTGCTTATTCCACTACCGATATATCACAGACCACGATGCAGATATTAAAAAGGATAGAGAACCGTATTTATTAACCTGGAAAGATGTCTCTGAGGCATCGTTAATGCAAAACATTTACAGAAATGGGGATGGTAACTCTCCTTATTGAAATGCAAGAGGCAAAAATAGAGAAGCCTATACCAACATTAAAATTGCATAACTGGAGAGGAGAAAATATGGGTAGTTCATTCATTTTTGCATGCCTGCATTTTTATTTTATTTTAGAATAAATATACAGTCGTCCCTCGCCACTTCGCGCTTCGACTTCGTGGCTTCAACCCACCGCGTTTTTTTCAAGTATATTCATTGAAAAGTTGGTCGAGACAGTGAAAATGATACAGCGCATGCTCGGTTGTCTGAGTCAATTATACATCCCTGTAATACAATTAAAATTACTGTACTTATGGGCTGTAGGCTCTGTATTCGAGCACCCCAGAAACACCAGGTGCAACCACTAGAGTCTGGAATGGATTAACCGCGATTAACAAGGGACACTGTATTAATTATGTGATAAGATGGAATTGTGTGCCAAGAACCACTTGTTTGGAATAAATCACAAACAGGATCTATACGCATCCTCAACAATGAAAAGCACGCATCGGGACACCAGGTGAGGGGGCAGATCAGCATCAAGGGTCATAACCCTCGGGGTGTGTGTTCAGGGTACCCTGATCGGGATTAAGGTCTATGTGACCAGCCCGAGATTTAGCAGAATAACACGTGCACTTGGTAGAGATTTCTAGAGAGTCGCTAGTATAACCACAAGGAGAAAAAATGCATTTTCCTAAAGGCACTCAGCACCCGGTCTATTTTTTTTTTTAAATACTAAAGCTCCAGTAAGGTTAGCCAGATCATTGTGTCTTAAATCTTCATACTGTGCCTTCTGAGAGTTTACTTACTATGAGGTGTGTGTCTGGGATGCCCTTAAAATCTAAGAAAATTCTATCAGAATCATGATTTTATCAACGTCATCTTTACTTGTAGAAAGAATTCATATATCCACCTTTTTTAAAAAAAAAAAAAGATGACTATGTATAGGATACTTGGAATATTGAGTATTGCCAGGAAAAGGACACGGTGGCCGGCCACGTGGCTGGACCCGTCGCCACGCTCCTTTCTGGAACATGCAACCAAGGGTCACCCGGGGCTCAGTGCTCAGAAGGTCCCAGCCTTGGTTTAACGCTAATGTTGCCATCCTGAAATTCTTAGTAATTTCTGAACAAGAACCACTTGCTTTAATCTTGCCCTGAGCTCCACAAGTTCCGTAGCTGGTCCTGCTTATAGTCATCATCACTTGTGATCTGTGTTGTTCTGGGGAGAGTGGGGGAGTCCCATCTTCCCGCCCAAAAGAGCGATTCACTGCATGTCACTGGACAGGGATTAGCCAATCACGTGAATGCCTGTTTCGGTATTGGCCAAAGTGATTATCCGTTTGAAATACATCGGGAAGTTTTGTTTTAAAAAGTAGCTGGATGAAGTCAACTTGAAACTTATAGAATTTTTATTATTTTTTAAAATATTTTTTATTGATTTTTAGAGACAGAGGAAGGAAGAGGCATTGATGTGAGAGAGAAACATTGATTGGCTGCCTCCTGCACGCCCCCAACTGGGGATCGAGGCCGGAACCCGGGCATGTGCCCTGACCGGGAGTCAAACCAGCACCTCTCAGTCCATGGGACCACTCTCAACCCACTGAGCCACACCGGCCGGGAGAAACAGAATTGCATTAACCAATGCACCCCAGTAAATTCAATAAAATACAGATATAGGACTTCTATAGAGGAGGGTATCAAAGCCATGCAAACATTTATGATTCACTTCAAAGATGATTTGAAAATTGCTTCAATTCTTTTCTGAGATAGAAGAACACGCAGTGAAGGGTCGGAGTCCATCAAGTCAAGAAGCAAAGGAGGATTTCTGGAGCTGGTTGGGCCACTTGAACATGACGTGGTTGGGTCAGGATGTGACCAAGCTCCAGACCTCAGGACAGTAATGAGAAGACAGCGGCCAACCCGACCCGTGTTCCTCACCCCAGGAGTCACCCAGCGCCCCCGTTTTCTCGGCTCCTTTTACAAAGCCTTCGGAAGGCAGACTTGAACGGAGCGTGGTTCTCAAGGGAGATGGAGGTGAGAGAGGAGAGATAGTCTTTTCCTAATAAATACAGAGCACAGCTCGGTGACCGTGATACCATCTCACAAGCCCATAACGAACGGAGCGCGAATGCGCGTTGAAAACACCTCAGGAAAGTGTTCGTGCGTCACTTTTCAGTCCAGGACATTTCACTCGCGTTTAAACGCGCGCGCCTCGCCAAAGCGCCGTGATTTCACCGGTACCAGTGAAAGAGATCTGAACGGGCTGGGATTTGGGGAGAACAAAAATTAAAATTATTGCCTTTAAGAAAATAACACCTGTATAACGCACAAGAAAATTTTCTCATGACTTTACCTACCAGAAAAAAGTTTAAAGAGTTTGAATTCAAGCTATTGGTGGACTGGTGTGGGCGTCCTCCTGTCCTTGGAGGTGACGTGGGGCATGTCCTGTGACTTCTCATGGCATTTCGTCCCCCTGCAAACCAGGGCTGATGGATGTGTTTTCCGTCAATGTTGAGGATTAAATGTAAAAATATATGTCAAATGATTGGCATGTTGTCGGTGTGCAACAGATGTTACTTCTTCTTGATCTCTATTTTGATTTAATAAAGTAATATACACGCATGCCGCATCTATAATGATATTTGCCTATCAGGTTATTATCTGTCTGCTCAGTTGGCATTAAACAGAGTGCCTCTTTATTTCTCTCTCTGTCTCTGTCTCCCTCTGTCGATGTCTCTGTCTCCATCTCTTTCTCTCCTCCCCTTCCCACTGACAGTGAAAACTACTGACATACAGAAGCAGATGAAAAGGTGTAAGGCCCCTTACACAAATGATGACGCAAGGCTGAAGGACTCAAAGAACACAGCAGAGGAAAAGAATCCTTGCTTGCAAGTCTTCTGTTTGAAGCCAGCATGTAAACATGAAGGAATATAAAATGGAAAAATCTCTGCTTTGTATAAAGTTTTCATGTGTCCAACAACGACAAGGAAAAGACTAGCAGTTATATTGTGTCACAAAATTACTTCAAAATTTTAAAGTAGGTCAGTCTGCTTTTTTTTTTTTTTTTTTTTTCCCATCATGAGATCAGATCATAAATTTGACCTGGAAAATGCTTTATCTTCGTGAGATTACCAAGTTCAGGTCCAAGGGTTTGCAAAAATGGGGATTTGAAGCTTTATGTACGGACCTAAACTCTTCTTACTTCCCTTTTCTATTGCAGTATGCTTTCTTTGTTTTTGTTGTCCAGTCTAGAACCTCACTCAGCATATCCAGAGCGGTTGGGTGGTGCAGGTGGCCTTGGGGGAGCAGGGGAAGGTTCATGATTGTCCCTTCCAAGTGCAGGCAGCTTGCTGAAGGTCTTCAAGCCAGAGGAAAACGATACCAGATGGGACTTGGGTCTACATGAAGGAGAAAAGACTTCTGGAAATGGCAGACATGTGGGGGAATGTAAAAGACTCCTCTTTCTCATTTAAAAATACTTACCAGGCCCTGGCTGGTTGGGCTCAGCGGTTAGAGCGTCAGCCCGCCAAACAGAGAGTCGCAGGTTTGGGTCCTGCTAAGGGCACGTACCTCGGTTGCAGTTTGTCCCTGGCCCCAGCTGGGGTCATGTGGGTGGCAACCAGTCAATGTGTCTCTCTCTCACATCGATGTTTCTCTCTCTCTCTTCTTCCCTTTCTCCCTCCCACTCTATCTGAAGATAAATGCAAAAATGTCCTCAGGTGAGGATAAAATACACACACATATATATATTATACACACACACACACACACACACACCAGCTAACTGTGCCCAAAAGAATGATGATTAAGGAATGCTACCATGAAACATCTACTCTTCTCTCCTGTTTGCACCTGTCTGCATACAGAGAGAAAATTTCCTCTCTCCCAGTTCTCTTTCAGACTTTTGTACAGGACTTTAAAAAGTTGCCTTGCATCTGTATTTCTCTCTCTCTCTCCACAGTTCCATCACCTCTTGCACACGATTTCAACAAATGTTATGAAAAATAGTTCAGAAAGCTGATGTCACTCCTTCCTCTGGAAACAGTAATTCAAGCAGACTCTTAGGGACGGGGTGATGCCCATGCTCCTACGATGTCTCCTTGTTCTCGTCCATCCTTACAGACTGAACCTCCTGTAACACAGGGAATGCCAAGAAGTATGTGGGAACATCACGGTGGGAGTACAGTCCGTATTACCAGCCTGTTTCCAGCCGACCTCACCATCAAATGCTCCCATGTAGAACATATTTAAGTCCATTTTCAGCATAGAAAAATGTAGAAATGTGTTCAAAATAAAATTGATGGAAATCAGGAAGGTGTACCTATAAAGGCAAACATAGCTATCCGGTAGCCCTGATGACCATTTTCTTGAAATCAATAATTAAAAAAGACTGAACATAGAATAAATTTTTTTTCACGTTGTTAACCTGCTTTTTAGTATGTAAAACTGTAGAGGAATTAAAGCTTTTGCTACTGAAGATCAAAGGCTCTGATAAGTTTGTGTCTTCCCCTGGCCCCTGGGACCACGTAAGACCAAATCACTTAATACCTCACAACCTTGGTTTCCGGTCCTATAACATTTGAGTTATGGACTAGATCCGAATGTCGTAGATATTCGGGGTCAGGAAACAATTACTGAAGTGGAGGCTGAACCAACCAGCAGCTGCTGTTTCCTTTTCAGTAAGGACACGAAAGGGCGCAGGTACAAAGTGCCTTCTCTAGGCGTGACCTGGAACTCGGTCACAACGCACCTGAACACACACTGCAGAACGTTCAGCAAGTTCACGTGAGGAAGGACCGTGTCGTCGGGTCAAGGGAAGCCTCGCTCTGGTTGCACAGACTGGAAAGAGAAGTCGTCAGTCTTTATCTCCACGACCAAGAGTCCCTTTGCAAATTTGTGGTATCATTTCCCTAAACAACCCGGGGCCGAGCTGTACTTTAGTTCTTCAGTTCCACATTTTCCTGTCTCAACAGAGACACAAACCCAGCTCTGAGGGCTCTTTCTTTTTCTTTCCTTTTAAATTTTAAGCATCGCCGACGGAATTCCGATCATCTTTTTTTCGACCATGTGTAACCACGGCCTAGCATCGACACGTGAAGGATGTAAGAGTTTAGACATCTCTTCTTTCTAGAGAGAAGATGGAAACATCGCTGATTTCCTTGACTCAACTGAACATGTGTGAATCAAAGGAAAAAACTTTCTTCAAGTTAATACATGGTTCACCAAAAGAAGAAACCGGCAAAGAGGCCAAAATCAGGTAAGGTCATCATTTTGAAAATCTGCCTTATTGTTTTAAAAAAAGTGTTTGAAGAATATTTACTAGCCCTTGTTTTCAAAACACCCAGTTTAAAATATGGCAGCTGTAGTGCTACAATTAAAAAAAAAAAAAAGTTTGTATTAGGAGTAAATAAGTGTTAAATCCAGTGTGATTTGTTTTTAAAGTGCGACAATTTTAAACACACAGACTAACGAACAACAATCTTTCTTGAAATCGAATGCTAACTACTTTGCGGTCGTGAGCGAGAAAATAAATGTATTTCACATACGCGTTCTAATTCCTCCCCAAGCGTAGCACTGTCCTGAGGTTCTTTGACAAACCGTTGTGAGTGTGGGAGACCGGTGGGTTGAGGACAGTTGTTTGGGTCACTGATAACTTGCCTGTCACAAGGAGTGAGTCTGTCCTCCAGTTTTCCTGAAGGTCCTACCTTTTCATTACAGAGCGAAGGAGAAGAGAAATCGGCTGAGTCTCCTCCTGCAGAGACCGGAGTTTCACGGCGAGACACACGCCAGCAGATCGGGGCACGAGGCCAAAGAAACGAGGTGAATAACATTTCATTACTGGGGTGGGGGGGAGTTTGCTGATTCTATCGTGAAAGATTTAAGAAAGAGGAAATTAGGGATTTTCATTTTATTGAAAATGACACTGTAACATAGGAAGGGTAGAGATCTCATTTCGGAAAAATAAGGAATGTTCTATAAAATGTAACCACTTTAATAGCTTGAATTAAATAAGCTTATAAAAATTTAAATGTGCTCTTTTAAAATTATAGACCTGTCCATCTTAAATGATGTATTTTACTCCTTATAAACTGATGCGGAACTCATTAAGAGTTTTCACACTGTCTGCCCTGGCCGGTTTGGCTCAGCGGTTAGAACGTCGACCTGCGGTCCGGAGAGACCCGGGTTCGGTTCCCGCTAAGGGCACGTACCTCGGTTGCAGTTTGTCCCCGGCCCTGGTGGGTTGTGTGGGTGGCAGCCACTCGATGTGTCCCTTCACGTCGATGTTTCTCTCTCTCTCTGTTCCTCTCTCTCCCTCCCACTCTACCTGAACAAAGAATGGAAAAATGTCCTCAGGTGAGGATAAAAAAAAAAAAAAAAGAGTTTTCACAGTGTAATATCACAGAGGAGACTAGTGTCATGTTTCTTTCCTCAGGAGTTTGAAAAAAATGTTCTAGGTATGAGAGCAAGTGTAGCACAAAAAGGGACATTTTGTCATTTTCAGCTATTTCTTTATTTCAAACAGCAAATGAAATAGCCTTATAAACTTTTGTAGAATATAAATTCTTCCAAATATGAAATATGACCAATAAAAGATCCAAGACAAATACATTCAACTCCCTGAATGATCCACATCACTAAAATAGCTGTTGTATAAAAAAACGTTTTATATTTTTTATCCCCTTTAAACTTCATTAATCACATTTTCTGTAGCTTTTTTTTTTTTTTAAGCTGCATAGTATGGCAAGAGTGTCAAGGAAATTGCAGTGTAAAAAAAAAAAATTGACTGCAAGATACTGTCAGTTCAGGCTCTTCTGTTGGCTGAATTAAGAAAGATAATTGACCTGATTTTTTTTTTTCTTGGTTTTTAACTTAACACGTGATTAATCTTGCCCTAGAAGATAATCAAAGGCAAAACTGAAAAGAAAGTTGACCGAGGTTTTGGAAGTTTCCAAAGTGAATACAACTTTTGTTGTGTAAGAGGCCAAGGAGAGTCCTGGCCGGTTTGGCTCAGCGGGTGGCGCGTGGGCCTGCGGACCGGAGAGTCCCGGGTTCGGATCCCACTGGGAGCACAAACCAAAAATAAATGGAAAGAGGCGAAGGAGAAACCCTGGGAAGTATGGCTGGGAAGAGCAGCGAGTAGCTGGTTACATGCTCGAGCAGATTCATAGACAGGCCTCTGCACGCTGCGTTACAAAACATGTTGTGTCTCGAACAGGCTCTGCCCTGAAGAAGCGATAAGATGGGGTGAATCGTTTGACAAACTGCTTTCTCATCAAGGTCAGTGCTATTTCCCCCCTACTTCATTCCTTAGTGGAAGATTATACAAAGCACCTATGGAACCACACAGGAGACTCGCATAAAAACGGAGTCTGATCGGTCATTTACAGCAATCTGAGTTTGTGAGAAACAGAAATAACCTACCTAAAATAGTCAACTAATGGAAAATCCTTTTTAAAGAGAGTTTTGTTTTATTAAGAATTACTTATTGTGGTTGAAATAGTATTTCTTTGCACTGTGATGAATAGTTTGAAATTTAAAAAATTTTTTTTTACTTTTTTACTTTTAAATGAAACCCTTGGTTTTATTAAACCCCAGATTCTCTGTGTTATTTCTATTGTTAAGTGAGCTAAAATTTGAAGTAATTCTTTGGATGGACTTTCAGGAAATCCTCATGAAAATAGTATCTTTTACATTGTATAGATGCTTTACTCTCTACAGCAATCGTCTGTTTGTAGAGCAGAATTTTCTAGAAGCTAGAAATCAAGTGGGTATGTTAAGGGGGAGCTTTGCAGGCAAGATGGGTGGTCAGGACTGATATCAAGTCCCCTTTGCACTGTCCCCCACTGTGACAAAGCAGGAGATCCACGGTAGCCTTTGGGGTCCATTTACAAAAGGCAGCAGGTGAGTGAGCCCTGGTCTGGGTTCAGTCCATGGTCCCTTTCAGTTTCTGGCAAAACTGATGAGCTGCAGGAACTAGCAGTGGGCAAGCTGACCACAGGCTGTTTCCTCACTGAGCCAGGCAGAGCGCTTTGAGGCAATTCTTTATCTTTACCCCATTTCCACACACTTCCGCAAGCCCCTAGCTTTCACTGGTATCAGCTCTCATTTGGCAAGCGTTTTCCTGTTCGTTATCTCATTCTATGAAACCAAACCCCAGCCAGCAATCCCCCAGGTGGAGAGACCCACACAGCTCTGAGACGGGTCACAGCATTCCCGGGGTACACATTCCAGGGTGTTTGCTGGAGGAAGGGAGGGGTCCTACTGCCGGGCCCGGAGGCAGGATTTGACCTCGGGACCTCACCTACTGTGTTCCTTTTGAGGAAACCTGACTTTCCTGTCTGTCTGCATTTCAGTGTTTTTCCTCCTCAATGGTCTGTCCCTGTACAAGGCTTTGGTGAACAGTTCACATCCCCCTGGATTTAATGACCTAAGAATCTTTTTTTTTTTTTTTTTAAGACTATTCCTGAAAATGTTCCCTCTCTCAATAAAAACAGAGTCTGTAATACTGAGTCGGAGAAATAAAAATAAATAAATAGAGAAATCAAGACTTAAATGTAGGCGAGGATGTAATCAATGCAGATGGTGGGTGGTAGTAAGAAAGGGCGTTTATGGTGAGAAAATGTAACTGTTATACTTTGCTCTTTATCTCTCTGTTACTTGTGTTTATGCTGAGAAAATGTAACTGTTACTCTTTTCTCTTTATTTCACTGTTACTTTCACTTAATACCCTGTTATTCCTTTTGGAGAAAAGTAAGGTAAACACTTTCCACAATGACTTTCCTTCATTCCCGACATCCGGTCATTTCTAAACCAGTTAAAATTCTTGCCAAACACACGTCGAACCTGGCCCACACTCACTAATTCTGCAGCCACCGAATGTATCAGTTCCTAAGACTAATTACACCGACCTGTGTAAAACTTTTCTCCATAATTTATGACCCCAATTTTTCTTCTTTTTTTTTTTTTGAGGAAAAAAACCCTATTATTTCTAACATTTTGGCACATCCCAGCCCTTTAGCTTCTTGACAGATTAGAGCAAGGGAAAGGGGGAGTAGAATTCACAATGTTTGCTCCTTATCTGTTTATTATAAGGAAGATGTCATTTCAGCTGGGGATCTCCCAGCCCGGCATAACACCTGGTAAATATTAGGTGCTCAATGAATATAACCAAGTCTGTGGCCTTGAAAAGTTCATTCAAGGTCCCTTTGAGACTTGAGTTCAGTTCTCTTCTGTAACATACAAGCTGTATAATCTTAGTGAAGATTCCTAATCACTCTGACCTTCAGCTTCCTCCAAGGTGAATGGAGATAACAATATCTTTGGCTCCAGTGGAAACAGATTTCTGTCAGGATTAAATGAGATGGTGCCAAAGACGATGCCAAGGACAGCTTGCCACCACACAAATGTCAACTGTCACTGTTGACTGCTATGATTGGAAACATCAACAATACGTTTAATTACCTTTTCATGGTTCCCTGTCCACTCCTTACTGGGCAAACATCCGGGTTGGGGTTCAACGTTCTTCGAAAGAAATACATAGGCTGGATTTATTCTTTTAACTTAATAAGCTGGTACCTAATAATTTCATCACACTCTCACGAGCCATTCAAAGAGAAGAAAGGTTTAGCGGGGGTCATTAGTCCTATAGAAAAGGCTCCTCTGGCAGTCTGTCCTCATCCCGCTTTATAATAGTCAAAGCCAAACAGAGAAAAATCAGGCTGCTCCCTTTTCCTGGCGGAAATGCTGAAGGGTTGTGACATAGCAGCATGGCGCAGCATGGAGGGGGAGCCGATAACAAAAAATCAGCAGTGACCCACTTGGACGTCATTATCAGCACTCACGATCAAAGTGCTAATTAAATTATATTGAATTCACCAAAAATTATGTGACTGGTGTTCTTTGAATCAGGCTTCAAAAAATCCAATTATTTTAATTGCAAAGCTTATTGTAATATTACATTATCGAGCTTAAAATAATCAGCTAAAAAAGTCTCTTGGTGCCAATGGTTAAACTCAGCTCATTTCTAGTGACTTGACTCTAGCCAGCCCTCCCCCCAAAAAAGGAAAGATTTTATACTTGTGTGTACACACACACACACACACACACACTTCAAGAAAGAACTTGCTCTATCTACCAGATGTTACAGACTTTCCCTTTGGTTAAATGTGTAAGTTGGTCAAAATCTATATCTATAAAAAGGAAATGCAAGTTGAATTGAATGTAGTCCAATAGTTCAGGGAACGATGAACAAAACAGAACAGAAATGTGACTATTCTGTCTGACAAAACAGCAGATATTGACACCTCTACAGACTGGTGTTCGCATCTTTAGAAATGGAGCCCCAGAAAAGATGGTTCTTCCTCTAGATTTTAGGGGACTCATCAAAATTCGCCATCCAAACAAGGAGAAAAAGAGAACGCCCAAGCAGAGCGCCAATCTAGGCGTGGGGAACTAGCCAGCACAGAATTTAGGGAACTAGTAAGAAGTAATTCCTTATTGAGAAACAAAATTTGAAAAAAATGGGGGCTTAAGGTAACAGACAATGGACTGATACAATTAAAAGAGGCAGGACGTTTTTATTGTATTCCACAGAAACCGGAAAAATCCATGGAGTTTTTGGGTATCTCTACTACTTTACTCAAATGTCAGTCTTAATATGTAGTTTTAATGCTTTTAAGATTTAAGAAAGCATAGGAGATAAAAAGTCATGGAAATCTAAACAAAGTATGGGCTTTAAATAAAAACAATATATCAATATTTCCGAACAGGAGGGACCTGAATGTGGTAGGTGGTACTGTTACTATCTTCATAATGTTTCTGTACATCTAAATTTACTCTAAAATAAATTTCAAAAAATAAGCTGAAACATGTTAAGAAAATTGTTGAAATCCCTCGATACTTGAACTACTGTTCCGCATCTGTCTCCATGCAGATATTTAAATAAATTTTTCTGCCGCCCTTGTTTATTGGCAAATTTGTCTGAAATTGTAAAATGAATCATAAAAATGTATAACTTCAGACATAATTAATAATTTCTAAATGTCATTTAATAAACAGAAAAAGCATGAATAAATAAAAAAAACCACCATATTATACCTATCATTCATAATTATCAATTTCCAATTTAGTCATCAGTTCTCACGGATTGACTTTAAATGCTATCGATATGAAGTGAACAAATCAATTAATTCCAATGAGATTATTTATATATAAGTAGAGTAAGGCTTTCGAAAACCATGAAAAGAGATTATATAGATGTGATCAAGATTTCAACAGGCAGAAGCAAAGGAAATTTTTGAGCAGAGGAAAAGGGTTAGAGAAATAAGGGCTTTGGGGGCAACCTAAAAGCCAGCAGCCCACTTCCCTGAGGCAGAGAAGACACACCCTGGGAAATCAAGGCGGTCACAGGCTTCGGAGCAACCTGATAGATGGGGGTAGAATTACATGCATGTCATATGAACTACCTCCAAGGCTGTTACAAATATAAAAGCTAACCTCCAGATAAAGGCTGTTTTGGAAAGAAAACGGATTAGCTTGGTGACCGATTCTATGTGTGTATATGTCATAAAGTGAGTTGATGAAGAAATAAGAGATTAAAGAAAAAAGGACGAGCCAACGAGCCCCAGATTTTATTTCATATTAAGAGGAAGTCGAAGGGACCTTTTATAAATGAGAAATAGAGGCGCAACAGTATCTGTGAGAAGATACCAGGTTAGAATTTGGACTGACTTAGTTGCTGGAAACTTTGTCCGAAGGTTTGCAGGGTTTTGAAGGCATGCACCAAGAATGTGGAAGACGCCCTGGCCGGTTTGGCTCAGCGGTTAGAGCGTCGGCCTGCGGTCCAGAGGGACCCGGGTTCGGTTCCCGCTAAGGGCACGTACCTCGGTTGCAGTTTGTCCCTGGCCTTGGTTGGTCATGCGGGTGGCAGCCACTCGATGTGTCCCTTTCACGTCAATGTTTCTCTCTCTCTCTCCCTCCCACTCTATATGAACAAAATATGGAAAAATGTCCTCTGGTGAGGATTAAAAAAAAAGAATGTTGAAGACGGTTTGATCACAGTCTCCAACCATCTCACACAGTGGATAACTGAAGATGAGAAAGAGAAGGGTATTTCCTGTAAGGGGAGACCCCATGGACAAGAGCATCTTACCACCACTGTATAGCTGTTTCTTTTCCTGTGCACCCTTTTGTTCACTCTTGGCAAATCATTCCAATATTTTTAACCTCTTTATGAATGACTATGTGCTTGGACATTTTGCACGCTGAATTGTGGCTCT